TCTCCATTGCATTAATTTCTTCTCTGCTCTTTATAATTTCCTCCCTTGTGTGAGCTTTGGGTTTGTCTTACTCTTATTTTTCTAGGAGCTTAAGTTAAACATTATGTTGTTTATTTGAGCTCACTCTGTTTTCTTAGTATGGACATTTACTGCTGTGAATTTCCTTTGTAGAATCACTTTCATTGTGTCCCATAGGTTCCTATATGTTGTATTGGCATTATCATTTAATTGTAGAAGCTGTCCATTTTCTTCTTTAATTTCCTCTGTGACCCATTGATTATTCAGCAGGGTCTTATTTAATTTCCATCTCTTTGTGAAGTTCTTGCAGTTTCTTATGCTATTGATCTCCTGTATAATTGCACTATGGTTTGATAATATGCACTGGACAACTTCCATTCCTTTGCATTTACTTAAACATGTTCTATGAGCTAGCATGTGGTCTATTTTGGAGAATGACCCTTGTGTAGCTGAAAAGAGTGTATATTCTGATTTTGTGTGGTGGAACACTCTGTAGTCATCTGAGCCTATTTGTTCTAAGACTTATTTCATTTCTGTTATTTTGCTGTTGATTCTTTGTCTAGATGATCTGTCTATTTGTGTCAGTGGAGTGTTGAGGTCCCCCACTACAATTGTATTAGTGCTTATTTTACTTTTCAGATCCCTTAATATTTCTTCTGAATAGTTTGGGGCATTAGTATTCAGTGCATATATATTTAGGATCATTATCTATTCTTCTTGGATTGTTCCATTTCCAAGGATGCAGTGGCCTTCTTTTTCTCTCTTAATTAGTTTTGGTTTAAAATCTACTCTGTCTGCAAATAAGATAGCTACTCCCACTTTTTTCTGGGCTCCTGTCATGTAGAGAACTGTTTTCCATCCTTTTACTCTCAGTCTAAGAATTTCTTTGTGGATTAAGTGGGTATCTTGTATAGAGCCTGTTGGTTTTTGCTTCTTAATCCATCCTGCCAGTCTATTTCTTTTTGGTTGGTGAATTGAGGCCATTAACATTGATGGTCATAACTCTTATGTGTTGGCTTTTCATTGTCATGTTATTTTCCTCTTGTTGGTTCCTTTATTTATTTTATTCTTTTTTATTTTTCCATCTCTCCCTTTAATTTCTTGCCTTGCCTGGCATATTTGCTCTGTTGGCCCTTATGGAGTTGTGGCCTTCATTTTCTTTCTCTAGGATATTGTTTTGAAATGTTTGGAGTGCTGGTTTGGTGTTCATGAAATTCTGAGATGTTTTTTGCTGTGGAATATCTTATTTCCCCAACCATTTTGAAATATAGGTTTGCAGGATACATTAGTCTAGGTTGGAGGTTGTTTTCTTTGAGGACTTTGCCTCACTCTGGACTCTTCTTGACTTGAGGGTTTGCATTGAAAAGTCTGCTGATTCTGATGGGCTTTTCTTTTCATGTGATTTGTTTCTTTTCTCTACTTGCTTGTAGTATTTTGTTCTTCTGTGGGTTTCTGGAATCTTGATTATTATCAGTCTCTGTGTAGAGTTTTTTTAATCACAGCTACTTGGAGTCCTATAAGCCTCAGTTATGTGTATGTTAAATTCTTTTGTTCTGTTTGGGAAGTTGTCTGTCATTAATTTTGTGAACACTTTTTTATTGCCATTTGTACTCTCTCCTTATTTTAATGGACTTCTATCAGTCTTATATTCTTCTTCTTTGCATCATCTAAGAGTTGTTGGATTGATTTCTCATGATCACTTACTATTTTTAAGAGGTCTCTGTATTCATGGTCACAGACCACAATCCTATCTTCTATATCTCAAATTCTATATTTACATATTTTTTCATTCTGTTGTGAATGTATTCTGCAGAGTTTTAATCTCCTGTGTATCTGCTTGAATCTGTTTCATAGATTCCATTTCTTTCCAATTTTGGGCTTTCAAGGCCTCCATTTTTTTCCTATGCTGGGCATTCATAGTTTCTATCATGGTCCTGAGCTCATGTATTTTTTAAAATCTGTTTCTGTTCTACAATTTCTAATCATGTCTTTCATTCTTCTCACCATCTCTGTGATTATCTGGGAAATTATTCTGTTTTGAATTTTTCTAGAGCATCTTTTATCTGTTTTGTTACTTCCTGTGCTATCAGTTCAGGATATTCAGATGGTTGACTGTCAGACTTTTCCACCTTATTTATACCAAAGTTTACCTTTGGTGCAGTGGAAGCCTGTGTTTGTGCCTTGTTTAAATGTCTTCTCTTTTCTATTTTTATTGTTGTTTCTATCCTTGGTTTAATTCCTGAGTTAATACTTCAATCTTCCAGATATAGTTGGTCTTTTGGTTTTTGAGTCTCTAATGACTCTGAGGCAATCTCATTTTCATTATACCAGGAAAGACAACTAATTAGATCAATCACAACACCTTAGCCCAAGTGATACAATCAGCAACACAATAGCATCAAGCACAGTTTAGAAAATTACAATTTGTGGTAGTTTTTAATCTATAACCTTTAACTGTGTGAATGAAATAAAAATTGAGGATGAACCCAAAATATATTATAGTGAATAAACTTCAATTTAGCAACTTTACCATTCAGGATGGGGATTTAAAAGGAGTTGGGGAGGGAGGAATAGATAGGATAGAGAATCATTAGAAGTGAGGCTGGAGGACACAGGAAGGTCACACAAACTCTAGGAAGATGTTGAAGAGAAGAAGAGGGAACAAAATATACACAAGAACAGAACAAACTAACATTAATAGGGAGGCTAGAGACTGTAATCACTCTTTTAAAAAACTAATGGCAATTAGGCCTGGCATGGTGGCATATGCCTGTAATCCCAGCATTCAGGAGGCTGAGGCAGGAGGATTGCTGTGAGTTCGAGACTAGCCTGGGCTACATAGTGAGTTCCAGGTCAGTCTCAACTATGTAGTGAGACACTGTCTCAAAAAGAAATGACAACAATAACAACAACAACAAAACCAAAATAAATAAAACTAATGGCAATTGAGAGAAGGAAAGAGAAGAAAAGGAAAGGAAAGAAAATATATTGGAATTAGGATAGGAACAGGAACAAAAAGGGATAGAAATGAAGATTAAAGTCAGAGAGAGAGAGAGAGAGAGTGAGAGAGAGAGAGATAAAAAGAAGATAAGAAGAAAATGAGAAAAGAAAAAGATAAAATTATTTAAATTATTAAAGATAAGAGAAAAATATTATTTTGAAAAAAAATACAAATAGAAATAGAGGGCCTCCTTCAGGATATGCCTCTGTTGACACAATAGACAGCATGAGCAGGAGTGTGCAGATCTAAGTTAATTTGTCTCAGCAAGCCAGCAGCTGACCCCTGAGGTTCAGGCTGATTTCTGTCTGTAAAGCCCAAATTGAGATCTCTGACCTCCTGCTGGGTTGAACTCTGCAAGGTTCTACTGCAGATTCCAGCTGTTTTTCCCCTGAAGTTAGACCAGGTTCTGATGTGAGGTTGTGGTCCCTCCAACTTACCAACTATGGTGATATGGTGTGCCTTTTTTTTGGGGGGGTAACCAGTGATTGACCTCAGGGAACAATTTAGAGACGATGCTTTCTTATTGTTTTCATAAATGTAGAATATGTATAGCTGAAGAGCTATTCGTGTGCATTGGTTTGTTTCAACTGTGGCTCCTCTTTCTGATTTGGTTATTTTGGGATTGATGTCTTAACTGGCTCTTTTCATTATCAAGAAAAATATTGAATATCTGTCATCTATCTTTAGTTAAATGAAAATGGAAGTGTGTTTAATTCTCGAGGCTCTTGTGAGGATAAACAAAATCAGAAGGAAGAATTAGAAATCAGAGGCTGGTATATAACAAACTGTCAGCGAATGTTATTTATTTGCAAAGAATACAGTTTTATTATTTCTTCTTTGGTTCATACTGTGGTTTGCTTTGTTTTTTGTGTTTTAGAGACCCACCCTGACTTTCTCAAAAATGTTGTTTCTTTTCTCTTTAGTGTTCCTCAATTGCAGATGACCTGTGTCGATACAAATAACCTGAGCCATTTCTCCTTTCCCTTAGTCCCCTGTAGATCATTGTAGATATTCTTTAGTGTCAATTATTGTTTTGTTAGTGTTGAATACAATAAGTTAACCAGGCTAATTACAGTATTAGTGTTTCTGTTACAGAAAGATTAGGTTCCACAAGTTAAACTCTTTAGTTCAAGGATTTTGTTTTGGTTTTTGTTTTTTAATCTGTGAATACTTTTTCTTCTATTTTTATTCCTTTTTCAGTTTCCTGGACTCCAATTGCCCTGACATTGAAACAATGTTGGTGTCTTGGGGCTCTTTCATTGCATTATCCTGTAACTGTTTAAATTTTGTCTTGTTTCTTTACATTTATTCTTATCACAATGGGCTTGTCTGTCATTGATTCAATTTTCAGGAATGTTTAGTTTGTTATTTTTAATTTGGCATCAGCTAGTTCCCTTAGCTCTTCATTTTCCCTTAAAAATTATTATTCTATGGAATAGTGTTTGCCTTTTATGCCCTCACATTTTAAAAACTGCATTTTAATTCTCCTTAAATTGTTTTCTGGGGTGAAGTGTTACCAGGAATTCATTTCTGCTCTTCGAGTCAGGTTTTTTTTCAAACAAGTTACTCAGAGTGGCGTTAGCCTTCTTTTCTCTCCCAGGGATTTCTTGCGCCTCCCTCTGCGGCTGTGCTGGTTACTTCTAAGCCAGGCCACCTCCCCCTCAGCAGACTTGGGCGGGGCGGCTCTGTCCACAGTGAAAGCTGCAAGCTGGTTGCCAGCCCCACTGTCAGTACAGATCCCTTTAAGCTCTAGACACTTGCGTGTGGCTGAGGACTGGGTGTGGTGGAGGTGACGGAGGCCACAAGACGGGGCTCTGCTCTCTCTCACACAGCATATCGTTGGTCTCCAGAACCAGTTTCCTGAAACTATGACACCGTGTTTCCCAGGTTGGGACCTGGAACTAGGACTTTGAAGACACACTTGGGAGCTACAGCCTCTCGGAACAATTATGGCCACTGTTCTGAACCTTGTCTGAATATATTAGCTTTCCTCCCTCTTTCCAGAACTGAAGGATGAGTGGTGAGCACCAGGGTATAGGGATGAGGAGTTGGGATTAGGATGGACATCCAGTTATTCCAGAATCTTCTCCTTTGGCCACTGCATGGAATGACAACATATTTGGTTTACTCTGTTTGCTGTTGCTATAACAAAACTGCATGAGCTTGGTACTTCATAAAAAAAAAAAACGGATGTTTGATGTAGCTTGAAGTTTTTAGAGGCTCGACCTACAGAACCAGGATTCCTACTGGTGTGGTTGCTGGGGTGGACCTCATGGTGGGTGACATCACAAGGGTAGGGTGGGGCACAGGAGAATCGAGTGGGAAAACAAAGATGGGGAAAACAGTGGAGCCACGGTAACCCCACTGTCTGCAGGAATCTATCAACCTGCTAGGTCATTCCTCTTAAAGGTCCCCCACCTGTCACCTTTCCCTAGACTGAACTTCCAGTGCATGGATCTTCAGAGGACTTACTCAAGCAATATCCAGACCATAGCCTTTCCCCTCCCTGTGCTTATCTGCTTCTGAAGTTTGCTTTTTCTTTGTCATATTCTGTTGTGCATTTCTCTTATCTGGGTCATTTGATTAGCAATTGAGTTGAGACCCAGATACCCACTGCAATGTTGGATTTCTCTGGGATGATACAGGTACTGTACTGGATTTTCTCTTTTTGCCCCCTGTTCTCCACCTTTTCAATACCACTCTTTGCCCCAATTATCTTTTGTTACCTAACAAACTCCCCACAGCTCAGATGTGTAAAACAGCCATTTCATTGGGTTCACTATTTTCTGGGTGGGGAATTCAGGAGGGGCTTCCCATAGGGCACCTGATGGGTGGACAGGCTGAGCTGTGGTCCCGTTACTGAGTCCCTAGCTGTGTTCCTTCAGTCTTCACCTGCTGGGGTTGGAATGTAGGTGGTTTTCCCTCCCTCTCTCACTCTTGTCTTCAGACAGCAGCTGGACTGGGATGATGATGGCTGGGGGCTGCTCAGCACCTCTCTTTCCAGGCAGCCTCTCTAAAGCAGGGGTTTCAGTGGCTGAGGAATGGTGGTCTTGGTCCTGCTTCAGAAACTGCATCAAGCTTCCCGCACTGTGCGTGTTCAAAGCAGGAGGTAAAGCTATCAACTTCTTGTGGCCTCCACCCAGAAACCTTCACATTTTCAAATATATTTGGTCAAAGAAGCCACAAGCACCATCTTTATCAAATGCTCTCTTTTTAATTAAATGAGGCATATACAATAAAATTCAAAGCAGCAACCACAGTGGGAGAGAGTCCCCTCAAGACACCCTATTATTTTATCTCAAAGAAATCTAAGCTCAACCACATTCATGTAACTCCAGACCCTTCAGATCTTGGTTAGATTCGTTTGGATTTTCCTATATCTGCAAACCATCCAGAAGAGAAAATCCACTTAGAATGTGCAGCCTGAAAGAGCAACTGCCTTGGGATGCTCAAACATCTCTCTGGATGATAATTATTTTATTCTTCCACATTTGAATTTTCATGTGCACAGAAGAAAAATACAGAAATGTACCACCAGGAAAAACTTCTATCAATAGTGCATCTTTTACAAAATGCATTTGCCCCGATGTGGTGATAAGTGATAGATATTAGTCATCTGCTACCACCCAGGCTTCATTTTCACCTTGTGTCACGAGTGTGGCCAGCTCCTCATCAGGTACTTTTTTTTATAACACCTGCAAAAATAAAGGATTTGTGAGTATTGCATATTTTAGATTCTTCCGGACACATTTGTAAGTTTCATTTTATTTTTAATTGATCTAAATAATGGTACATATTTCTGAGCTATTTTGTGATGATTAGATACACATATACCTCAAGTGACAATCAAGTCAGGATAATTATATCTCCATCAACTTGAATATATATCATTTGGTGCTGTTTTCATTTTTGTTACTTCTTTTATTTATTTTGAATGATTCTTTTTTGCCCTCCATTTCTTTCCTCATTTCTAAAGTGTGAACTCAACTATATTTGGTTTTTTTTTAGCTTTCTTTCTTTTCTTTTTTTTTTTTGTACTGGGGACTGAACTCCGGTCCTTGCTCTTTAACTTTTGTTTTTTTTTTTTTTAAACTTCAGAAATAACACACAAGCATAGTAAAATGCCAATGTTTACAAATTTAAAGTTTTACTGTGACAAAATAATTTTACCACTCCTTCAAGGCAACTATATTTACCATTTTCTTGTGAGTCCTGCTAAAGATATACAGTTTCTGTTTTGTTTCCAGAAACTATGTCCTCCATGTGTGTGTACCTCCCAACCCCTTTTATGCCAATATGGACAATGCAAAATAATGGTGCTTGTAACTCTTTTTATGTCCCAATTATTGTTAAAAAGTATTCAATAGCAGGGCATGGTGGTGCATGCCTGTAATTCCAGCACTCAGCACTCGGGAGGCTAAGGCAGGAGGATTGCTGTGAGTTTGAGATCAGCCTAGGCAACATAGTGAGTTCCAGATCAGTCTCAACTACATAGTTTGACCCTGTCTCAAACAACCAAAAAAAAAAAAAGAAAAAAGAAAGAAAAAAGTATTCAATAAATTATCTTGATCCCTCTGCAAAAGCAGGTTCCCCACCCAATAGATGGTTTAGATTTTGAATCCAGTGACCCCACACACTTGCTGAGAGAGCCTGAAAGGATTTACTGCTCACTCTTGTGACTGCACTCTTTGTGGAGAGCAGGGTCCTCTCAGCAGATCCAAGCAGCTAAGGCAGCAGTGAAGAGGCTGGCTGGGAGTGCTTACTGGGGACGCAGACCCAGCACAGAGCTTCCTGAGCGGAAAGGAACTGGGAGGGAGGGTCTGGAATCTCCTGCAGATGCCAAGGAGGAAGTTCCCAGGCATTCTTAGCTGGTCCAGATAGAGAGCTAGGGGAAAGAAGAAATGGAAATTTTACAGTTTCCCACATTTTACAAATCTCCCTAATCTCATTTGCAGTGAGAGATTCCTCCACCTTTTTCATGTCCTCTTCTGCAGATGAGATCTCCTCCATGACCTCTTGCTGTCTGGAGATGATCACCCACCATCTGGCAGGGGGCAGAGGGCATCAGCTCAGTTGTGATCATGTGATATTCGGCATCACATACTACTTGCATTGTGAGAAACCACTCATTTATCAAGTTATAATTTATTAGAAATGTTTGCTCATCTTGTGGAACACTCATGGAACAAGTTACTCACTAGCCAAGGTTTTGCTATACTTGCTTCATAAGCCTGTCCTATACTTTGCATTTTAGAAGCGCTTTTTGAAGTTAAAGATTCTGACTCACAGACGGAACAAAACCAGGTTCTCATCAGGTGGGTCCAGGAATCCGACATCTGCCCCAGCCCAGATGGGACCTCCAGGGTCCCACCTCCACCTTCTCCAAGGGTAGCCAGCCACTCTTCTGATTTCCGGACCACACATTTACTTTGCCTGGTTTTGAATGTAACACATTGGGAATTGTGCAGTATGCATTGCTGGTGTTCACTTTGTTGTGCTTGGCTTTGTGCTTCTGAGATTCACCCATACTGTTGTGTGGAGTCACGTTCATCTGGTCCCCTTGTGGGCAAAGTTCCTTAGTCCATTTGTTGTTGTTATGACAAAACACCAGAGGCTGGGTAGCTTATGAAAAACAGAACTTTGCACTTGTTTCTGAGTTCAGAAGATCCAAGAACACGGTGCTCACATTGGTGCCCATGGAGGGGAGGCATATGGTAGAGAAATGGAAAGGACACAGGCAGTGTGCTCTCAGGCCCGAGTGCATTAGGGGCCTCACTCTAATAACTCACTCTCACAAGAGCCCTCCTGAGGGACTAGCATTAACCTTTCCTGGGGTAGTGCCCTAAGGACCTAACCACCTTCCACCTTCCACCTTCCACCTCCTAAAGCCTCTACCACCTTCACCTTGCCACACAAGCTCCCAGCACGCAGACACTGGAGGATGAACTTTCACCATAAGCAAACCACAGCACCTCCTGTTCTATTTAGGACTCTACCTGAACTTGTGGGTCCATGTTACGCTCCAGAAATGATGAGATTTCCCCGGTGTTCATGATCCCACTGGTTACTGTTATGAATAATGGTGAAAGACCCATTTTATGTGTGTCTTTGGAGCACATCCATAACATTGTGGTTGAATGAAAACACCAGAGAGAAATTCCTGAATTGCAGGACAGAGGTACATTCAGCTCTTATAGCTGCCTAGAGCCACCAAAAGGGTTCATACATTTACACACCAAGTACAAGGAGCTACAGGGGGATCCACATCCTCTCGCACATTTGGTATCTCTAGTCCTACGCATACACCATCTGTGTCAGTTAAATGGCATTTCAGGGTGGCTTAATTCTTATCTGACTGATGGCTGAGGTTGAATATCATGGGTTTTTTTTTTTTTTTTTTTGCCTTTCCCATATTATCTTTGGGGGAGTGTTTGTTTATGACTTTCTCACTTAGAAAATGGATTGTTGTCTATTTTTCTTAATGATTTGAAAAATATACTCTCAACCGAGGTCTTTTGGCATAACGCATGTGTGTATTACAAATATCTTCCCTATAGCATGCTATTTCTCTTAATTATACTTTTTAACAAATAGAAGGTTGATTTTTAATGAGTCTGCTTAATCAATCTTTTCCATTATACTTGTCATATTTTATCTTGTTGGAGAATATGTTTAACATTAAGGCCATATGCTATTTTCTAGAAGCTTTCTTCATTTAAATTTCATATTTAGATCTACAAGCCATCAAGAATTGATTTTTCTGTATCCTGTGGGGTGAAGTGGCAATTTTCACTTTTTTCATATTTATATTCGATTTATTCAGTGCTGTTTAACTTAAAGAATCATAATTCAGCTTGTTCAGTGGAGTCCCCTCTGTCAAAATGAAGTGTCTATTTATGCTTGGGTTGGTTGATGACTTTTATTATGTCCCATTGGAATGCACGTGTTCTTGTGCCAATCCCACACTGTCTTAAGTAACATATACTCCATCAGAAGAAAAAATTGCAACCACTTTATTTGAAAGATCTAAGTGAGTTTTATTAGCATTTCGAGGATGGGACAATACCTCATTCTGCAAAACAGAACGGGCTCTCCGGCAACCTGAGCAGAGGAGCAAGCTTCATTTATAGACAGAAATAAGTAGTAAAATGCAGAAACCGCAAATGAAAGGAAGAGTGGTCTTTCCAAAAATGGGTGAATGTGAGGGGCTTCCGTATGATGCTGGCTTAGCCGAGCAGGGTCTCTTTTAACTGGGTGCTGCATATCTCTTGGAAAACTGGCATGTTTCTTAGTCCAGTTTGATTACCCGGCCTCTGGCATGGTGGCTCCATTCCTGGTCTGCTCCGGTCTGCTAGGCCTATTGGAGGAGCTCAGTTCACACAGTAGACTCTTGTGAATCTCACTGAGCAATCCTTAAAATAAATTCTGATATTTGACAGCACGAGTGTTCAAATTTTATTTTTCTTACTAAGATTCTTTCGATCACTCCTGGCTCTTTGGATTTCCATGTGCACTTTTAGAGTGAGTTTAACAGTTTTTGCAAAAAAACCCAAAACAAAACCAGAAGAGAACAAGAGCCTGTGCAGGACCAACACTGACTGTGCTGACTGTGCCGCCTCAGACTGAGGAGAATTGTTTCTGCAACAGAGCTGAGGCTTCCAGTCTCTGGGCACAACCTATTTTTCTGTTAGATTAAGGCTGACTTATTTACTCTAAAAAGCAGCTATTTTATGTAGAAGTCTTGTGATATTAAAAAGTTTTAGGGTTAATGATTTATTCTATTTACTATGGGGAAAGATTAATTTTAAAATTGCACTTTCTAAGAAATACAACTTGTTTTTATTTGCTCATGCATCAAGAGAGTTTGCTTGTTTTGATTACAAAAATGCTATTTTAATTGTGCATGAGCAGGTTTTATTTAATTTCACAATTATATCACCTATGGAGAGAAAGTTTCTTTTATCTTATCCATTTCAATGGGACCAATAGACGGAGGACTGAAACCTTTGAAACTTGAGCCAACACAGCCTTGTACTCTAGAGAGTGATTACCTCTGCTATTTGTTCCAGTGTCAGAAAACTAAGGTATCCTTTCTCATACTGAGGATTT